ATTTAGCACCGCCATCAATGCGGTCAGTCTCGCGCTAGCTACAGCTGGTATCGAAATGGTCGACTTCGCTGTGGCCTCCACTGTCGGTAAGTCCATTCTCGTCCTGAGAGCGAACTCCGACCACGCGGTCTCTTCTCACCGCGCCCGTTTGCACATCATTTTCGCTTGCTCGTCTTTTGATGGTGGAGACCACAGTTTGATACGCCTATTTAGCATAAATTTCCTGGGGCTGAAGGTGTACATATAGCGTAGGTGCGTCTAATTAAGAATAGTCGCAAAGTATCGCATAGACTCTGTTAATGCCGACAGGTGTCTCATGCATAACCTAGATAGCTAGTCTCCGTACCCGCCACTGTTCACGACACCTACGGATGCCTCAGTGGCGTCTGGGCAGTTGAACTTGGCTTGCCCTAACTTACTCGCTTGTACTTGGTACCGTTGCGATCATGCCTGATCTAGCCGGCCTCGATGTCACGAACTGCACCTTTTAACGCGTGACAATTGACGCAGCAAACGGACAGACGGCAGCAGACAGACAGTTCAACGAAGACCGAGTACCGAATGTCCGAGAACCACATCTATGTCTTGACAGACTGTGTCGAGCCAGGTTTTGAGTTGATCCCCTCTCCGACGCCTCCAATAGTGGTAACGGTGCCAGACCGAAGGCGATAACACTGAGCTCCTGAGGTGGACAACGAAGAACATGTCCCAACCGTCCATGCGATGTTATCGCAGCGAGTCGATGTACTTCACTCAAAAGATGACCCTCAAGTAGTGGTGGTAAAATGCCTCCAGTTTTCGCTCGTTCTCCACATCCGCAGTCCAGCATTCACAACCACAGAAAAGGACAGACCGGACAACTGCACAGTACACGCAAATCTTAGTGGCGGTGAAGTTGTCGCGTTGGATCCATAGGCGTTTTCTAAGGCTTGAGCAGACTCGGCGGGCAGAATCAATTCTGGAGACAATGTCGTTCTTAATCTGCCCACTCGGTAGCAGCCTCACCCCGAGGTATTTAAAACCGTCTACTTCACGTTGACAGCCATCAAATCGCGGGCGGTACTTTCTCCTGGTCAAAGATGCAGCTTGAAAACACTGGTCTTTCCAGCGTTTTTGGATAAACCGACAGATTTGGCGACCTCGTTCACCTGTGACGCCATAGACCGCAGATCACCAAAACTTAAGGCAAGTAAGGCAATATAATCAGTATAATCAAGATCAGTCAGTCAGTTTTTGGGTGCAAACTCAACACCGTCACCTTCGTGTAGGGCCCTCCCGAGGATCCAATCAATAACGTAATTGAACAGAATGGCCGACAGGATACAGCCTTGTCAAAGGCCAGACCGAATACCAACCCGGTGGGGAAGCATGTTGCGGACCAGAACTCTCGCAGCGGTGGAACGATAGTCAGCCTTGATCAAGGCGATGGCTTTGGACGGTATGCAATCGAGTGCAATTATCCGCTATAGGGGCTCACGATGGACGGAATAGAACACGGCGACAAACTCAACAAAGCAGACGACCGTCGGTTGCTGGTAGCTATGGCGAAATTCGATAATGCGTCTCAGTGTGAATACCTGGTTCGCGCATCCACGTCCAGCGCAGAATCCAGCTTGGTTGAACCTCGTCCTAGAGCAACACACAGCCTGAATTCGTCTGAGTAGAACAATAACGAAGGTCTTTGCAGCAACGTCGATGAGGCTTGTGCCGCGGTAATTCCCGCATCTTGTCTTATCTCCCCTCTCGAGGATAGGTATAAGCCCGTCATCAGGAGCAACCTCGTCTCTCCACGCTTGTTCAATCGCCTCATGGAGCCAGGGCGCCAGAGTGTCGACAAAAGGACTTGTAGATTTCAGCGGTATGCCGTCTTCACCGGGCGCCTTGTCGTTGCGTAGCCTTTTATGATATCGGGGACTTCTCCTTCAGAAGGGGGGTCGCATAGCGTTGCATAGGTTGGAGAGGGAAGAAACTCCGCCGCAGAGGGGAGCAAGGGCGTGGTGGGTTGGGTATCAAAATTGAGATGGTACTCGAAGTGCTTAAGCCAGCGCTCGACTTTGGCCGAGTTGTCCGCAGTAAAGTCGCCATTAACGTCGCGAACAGGGTCTCTCAGTGCAGAGAACTTACCACTAACTTGGCGAATAAGTTAGTAGTTTTTGAGTGTCGCGAACGTTCGAGGCCTGTTCCATGAAGGTCGCAATTTCAGCCCAATATTGCTTCCGGTCATCCCTGGCCGACTTTGGCGGAAGGAATCATCACTACGAGACCTGGCTCGAGCCGTCTGAGCAGACAACTGCAGGGTTCTTCTGTTAATCCAGTCACTGCGACGTCGCTGAGTATATCGAAGGATTTTCTCAGCTGCACCATAGACTGACGTTTTCAGCGACGACCAAAGGTTAATGCCTTCCCCGTCGGCCCGGGTCGTAAAACAGGACTGGATGTCTCTGCTCAGGGCCCCGACAGTGTTGGTTTGCCGGATTTTTTGCGACATCGAGGCGTCAATGACGTGGCACTTTTAGCGTGAGAGATGAGGTGAACTTTCAAGCATGTCCGCACGAGGAGATGGTCCGACCCATGGGCGTTACCAGTCTCGGCACCACGCATCAATCTGCTATTGTGAACCCAGCGGCTGGACCTTGAGCTGACCAGAATGTAGTCGATCTAACTGGCTGTATGATCGTCGTTTGAGTACCAAGTCAGTTATTGTGATGCACGAAGCACGTGTTAGTAGTCCGTTCTGATCAACGAAGTTCAGCAATCCCTCGCCATTTTCACACCGGGAATCAAACCCAAAGCGGCCAAGATGACTGTTTGTGGAGTCGCCAGATCCTGTCCGACCGTTTCAATCCCCGCCAACAATCGGCAGATCGTGGCGAGAGGGTCTGTCAACCAACGGCTGCAGCTGCGAGGGAACCGTCCATTTATCGCGCTGCTCAGCGGCTGAAGTTGATGGAGATGTTCGTGAAGGGACCTTTCAGTCGCACGTAGGCCGTCTGGTCATTGACTGGTTCTCAAGCAAGTAAAGCGGGGTCGGCTTGTTGCGAGAGGTCGATCGTCACGCCGTGTCTACCTGAAGGGTCGCGTGGGCCACTGTGGTACAGGGTGAAGTGTGAGTCAACTCCGCTGGCCTTCATTTCCCGAAAGCCTGAGTCAGGAAGTCCAAGTCTAGACAGACAGCAGACATCCACACTTTACTGATTAGGGCTGCCCGCGGTCAGGCTTTGGGTACCAGGGTCCAGGGCCGTTCGCACATCCCATCATTAGACACCAAGAGTCCGTCCCCGGTTGAGTAGTCCAGCTCGCATAATATTCGCCCCCACTACTGGACCAGGATTGCGGAGCGCGTCGTTCACCGCGGACGCCGTACCAGGGGTCGAATACTGCAGTCGGACGTATTTCATGAGGCTTCTTGGAAATTTTGAGTACAGGCGGTCCCCTAACAGCCGCTCGGGTTGTTTGTTCGAGGTTGTCTCCTCTAGCGCTTTGGCTTAAAAGCCTAACCACTAGGCAGTGGCAGCAAGCAAACTTATTTTTATGGCAGTCCACTGTTGCCATATTACAGTGCCGTCATCGGGCTATGCGGCTTCTTATAATGCCTTCAGCATGCCTGACCTCAGCCTTCAGCACTGTCGTTGCTGGTCCGCGACTGCTTATTCGTCAGACCTGGGTCTGCTTACTTCTCAGTTAACCTTCACTGAAAATTGTTCCACCATCCGCCACTTGTGGGCACGCCGGGTAACCAGCAGCTAGGCTAACAGGCGACCCTTCATCCCGGTCACGGCATTACCGTTTGGTTATTACTTATCTTCGCCAGCTTCCTAATTGTTAATTGCTGGTTGCTGTGTGACTTCCCGTGAGGACTATATATCTAGAGCTCCAAGGCGCACCTGAATCGCCCGCATGTCTCGTCATTCAATCAGGACAGGTCGGCGAACCACTCACGCCGCACTTTTTTCAGTAATGTGACTACGCAGACATGGCTAAGCAATAAACTATGGTTGTTTTTTTCAAAAGTCATGGCATCGTTCAGATGTACGTCACCTTGTTATCCAATCGATTAGTTGTTAACTCTTGTCTTCCATTCCATAGCTCATGACCATGCTTCGGGCTCTCAGCACGAAAAGACTAAGATGCTGGTGTTTGAAATTACCGATAGGACTAAAAGTACCGTTTCTTCTATACAAATAGAAGTAGTAATGGATCCTGAAAGTTGGCGTTACGATCTGCAGTATTTGGTTCGATCCACTGCCGCAGTGACCGCATGGTCTGGGAGGTGTTACCTCCCCATTTCTCGACGATGGAACCTTGTTTCCGTTATAAAGTTAGGGAAGTGAACATACGGCTTCTGAGCTTTTCTCTATGCTGCAATACCTCCAGGACCATCTTGGGTCATGAAGATGAGTCAAACCGCCGGTATTTTCGCCGTTTTTTTGTTCTCAAATTAGAAGTCTCAATTAAAAGTGGGCTTGGACTGTCAATGCACTTTGTTCGGGCCAGTAAGAAAATTCGTTTCTGACTTCATGTTACTGACTGACGGTTTGGATCGGTTCGTGATAGTCGTCGCAGGCGAAAGGGAGATCTGGGGTTTGTCATGGTTGCGTCATCTCGCAAGCCATTTGCCTGTATATGTTTGAATTTTCTACGCCAGCTGTGCTAATCATCCGCACAATCATGTATGAGTATAAATAAGACCACCACCCAGCATTGTGCCCTGTACTGAAGTACTTTTTGCATACCGGCGTAGGATGGCTTTATTGGGTTTGGACTAAACAACAATCACCACTGACAAACACCAACTTATAAATGCTGACACTTTTAGATGTGACCAATGTCAGAATACGAGAATCGTATGCATCTGCCTTCGGCGTTGGTCAGGCGGTGTTTGGGAGTTAGATTAAGAATTCACAATCGACCTGCTTGAGGTCCGCATGCCTACGGGACTAACTCTCATTCGCAATGCCTGCCTTACATGCTTTTAGTGGATTTCAGTATCTGGTATATTTGTTGTAGGTTTTGTTGGGCAGGAAATTGCGCCTCTTGGCGCCATTAGCCGTTGGTAGTTTCACCAGAGACCGACGATTATGGCTCTTCGGTTGTCCGAAAACTCGGCCAAAACGCTTCTCACCGGATGGTGGAACTGTAGCGCCGTTTGGTGTGTAGATTGTTCTTTTTAATACCTGAATGCGAAAGTGAACGACACCATACACCTCCCCGGCACAGGAGGGTCGTTAGCAGCCTTGGTGATGTCGTAGTGCCGCTTTGGTTCGTAACAATTTTGTGACTTCCTGACCTGCCAGATCGACGCCAACCCGCGTCTGAGGGTAGTGGCACTCTCATTGTTTGTGTTTGTTTCGCAGCTAATTATTGCTGAAGACTGTTACACCTGTCCGCCATCTGTAAACGCCTCGGGTAGTCCGTTACTTGGCAAGCCAGCAGGCCCCGTCTTTATTCACATCTAACCGTCCCGGGCACTTGGTTGTCTGACCAACAAAGTTTGCTTTAATGTTGTCTCGTTTGGTGGTCCGGTCGATGCAGACCTGATAGCTGTTTGATTCTCTGCGCGTAGTTTTTGATCGAAAATTGAGTTTTTTTCGGTTAAAAGCGGACTGCCTTTAAACAGTGTTGATGAACTGCTTTACCACATCGGAAAGTCACTTCCTTCTTCTTGCCATCTGCTTTTCCTTGTTTTCTTCCCAGTTTACTGTGCGTTTCCATTGCGCTTTTGCAGTCAATAAGGTATTTCAGCCATTTTTCCTTTGGCGTCTGTTTATCCTTATTAATCTTAGGTTATTACGGTTCGCGACTGTTTGCCGATCTGTGTCGCTATGAGGAGAACTCTCGTATCACCCAGGTGACAGTAGTCTGCCTGCCAGCTTCCGCAGCCGCTAAGACAGAATTGACGGCGGTGGAGGGTGCAACTGATGTCAGCGGCATCCCTACGGACGAAACGCTCGGAGCGCGCCTCCTTCACACTCGCTTGTCCTCCTGGCTGCCCTCAGAGAAACTTTTCAGTCTCCTTCGAGGTGGCATCCAGGTGGCCAAGGTGGTGCACGCAGAGTTGGTCCTCAACCTTAAGAAGCATGTCAAGTCTGCAGAACGATAATGCTCCCTTCTGTGATGACTCCGGCGAACAAATGTGTACATTTTTGTAACTAGCATATTGCCTTTTTTCAAAGCTCTGGTAGGATAAGTGAAGTCTAGACAGAATCGAGTAAGTAGGCGATTTAAGTGTGTGCGGCCCAGCTAAGCTCGGCCCCAAGCTGGTAGTGGATACACGAGTAGGATATCTTATCTAAGGCTCGTTTTCGAGTTCTACAGTGACCAGCGTTAGGCCGGTCTCCGTCCTCTGCGCCGTGGCGTTTGGTTCTATCCGGCAAGGCAACGGGCTCGTGGCCCGGTGAGTAGAGGCGTTGACTTCTAAACCAACAGGTCGCGAGTTCGAGGCTCGGGTGTTCCACACTTCGGGCTTGGGTATGGCTGGCTGACGACGGCTAATAAGCCAGAAATGGCCATTCCAGTCTCCCTTGTCTTTGTCGGTAATGCTATTCTGCCTATATATATATATCTGCCTGTGAGAAAGTTAGTGATCTACCAGACAGGAGTGGTGCGGTGGCCCCTGTCCCGGCAGCTGAAGACGTAGACCGCTCCCAGCCACTACGATCTGGCTCCGTCCAGGATAGAAAGAGGAGGGACTGAACACCAGCTGGGAGAGCATTGCATTCTGCACAGAATGAATAAGGAATAGGTTGGAGAAAGTTGGCAGTCGGGTGGTGATGGAGGGAAGGGTGCAGTAGATGCGGCGCAAGTCACCGTGCCTGCTGCCACTATGTTGTGGAGCGCACGGTGGACATCGTCCATCACGACGGTCGAGCTGCTGTTTGTGTGTGTGTGTTTGTGTGTGTGTGTGTGACCGAGGATGCCTCCAGGTGGCCTTCTCTCGCTCCGGCATCCTCGGTCACGTCAGTGGCACCTGCTGGACTATGTCCTCGTTCGGAGGCGAGATCAGCGGGACGTGCTGGTGACGAAGGCGATCGCGGGTGCTGATGGGTGGA